CGCCAGGCGGGGCACAGAGCTCGGGACCCGCGGAGCGTCCAGCCTGCAGGTGAGGCGCCCCCCGCAGAGTTGCGCGCTTGGCGGGGGTCTACACCGAGAGCAGGAGGGCAGGAGCGGGAAGAGCGGACCTCGAGGGTCCAGAGATCGGGCGCTGGGGGCGGAGTCGACATCGGAGAGTACCCGACCCAGGCAACACCGGAGGGTCCCGGCGCAGGGGTTGGAGTCAGTAGGGTGCGGGGCTGCACCACAGGAGACCGTGCGGGAGCGGGTGCAAGGAGGCGCGGGGTCTACACCGCAGTGTCAGGGCCAGGAGCGGGCGCGCGGGCGCTGTCGCCTGTCCCGCAGGGACGAAGCTCCAGCTCGCGCAGTTTCCACTTCGGTTGCGTCGCGGGGGTGGGGCGAGGGCGCGCCGGGACAGTCCGCGCCAGCGCCCCCAAACTGCCCGGCAGAGCACCGGCGCCCGGCAGGGCTGCGGACGGCTGGCTCCCACCCGTCCTGGCGGTGGGTGGCTCGCCGCTCCTCAATGGTAGTCCGAGCGGCTGCGGCCACAGCCCAGGTCCCGCCTGCGCCTCGCGCGTCCCGTCGGTCCGCAAGGGGCCCGCCACATTCGGTGATAGCCGGAGGGGAGAGCAGAGGCCCCTTCCACTCTGGGCCTGGGCTAGTCCTGACGGGGCCAGTCCTCGGAGCGGCGCGCCAGGCCTCTCCGCAGCCCCCTCGGCCGCCCTGGGCGTGGGGAGGTGACGTACCCCTAGCCTTCCAGGCGCCCACGTGGTCAGGGCGCTGACCTGAGACCGCAGAGAGGGAGCCGCCTTGGGCTCCCTCGAATTCCCAAAATTAGGAGCCTGAGCACGCCTGAGCGCGCGAACCTGGCCCGGGGTGCGTCCTCACTGGCGCTGAGCCCCAGGTGGACTGCCTGGTCTGGGGGCACGACCCCGGGGGCTGACAGTGACCGGGGGCGAAGAGGGCTGGGCGGGAGAGGGCCTTGAGCCTGGGCTCTGCGCAGACAGCTGGGGCCCCAGCCCTGGTGAGCTTGCTTTCCTCTGTGTTCCAGTCGCTCACTTTCAGGCCCCGAGCCCCGAGCCCCGAGCCCCGCCCCCCGCCTCGGGGATGTCTGTGCGCGCCTTCTCAGTCAGAGGTTTAGGTGTGACTCCAGCGCTTCAAGCCAGTAGTGCCCAGCGAACGGTTACTGCCCTTCCTGAGCCCCTCTCCCACCCCAGGGCAGCACCGAGGTGGCTGGGAACCTTCTCACCTCTTCCAAGCTCTCTGCCTGGGAAGCTGAGTCTGGGCTCCAGGAATGGATCGTACCACGTCGCTCAGATTCCCAGAGCTTGGTACCTGGCTCTCCCCTGGGGCCTGCCTTCTGGCTGCGGAGGCGTGGGCCGGTGAAGTGCCTGCGCACGACTTGCATTGGAACTGATGGCCTGCTGTGGATAATAGACTTTGACATTTGCCGGGAAGTTTGCATGACTCCGCTAGGACGTGGCCTCCAATGAAACCTGAACTAAGTTAACACTTTAGTTTACTTGGTTGGGGTGGCCAGGTGGCAGCTGGTGGTGCCCAGGTGGACTGGCCACAGGACCTTTTGTGTGTGTCCTGAGGCAGCACGTGGACTGGCCACAGGGCATCCTGTGTGTGGTGAGGTGGGGAGGCCTGGCTGAGAACCCCAAGGCTGTCCTGGGAACCCAGACAGGGGCACCAAACACAGAGGGTGCCTGTCCCTGCCCCACCTTCAGTCTCTCCAGGGTTAACAGCTGGCTTGGGAAGGATTGGGTCCTGAATAACTGGAGTGGGTTAGTGGGTTGGAGTTTCCCTGGGACAAGGGTGTCTTAATTGTGATGGGTTTTCTTAAGCTGAGTTTTTTAAAAGGCATTGTGGCACATTCTGGGGATGACATGCCCTTGGCTTTGGGCGCTCAGTTCCCTGCAAGCTGCCCATGCCAAGAACTAGACAGTGTTGCCAAGAGAAGACCACTGGATCCGTAGCTTAAATGGAGAGGCAGGACTGAAAACAGCTATCAGACACTTTCTAAGGCCAAGCCGCGTTGCCTCTTGCAATGTATATGTTATGCTTTGTAAAAGCCCGATTCGCATGATGCTGGGGGTTTTGCAGGCACTGAAGGAGGGAGCAGGTCTACTGCCCGTAGATGGGCGTGGGGTCGGTGGTGCCGCTCAGGGTCCTGCAGGTTCTGAGACAGCGCCTGGCTGCTGAGTGCTTAAGCTTTAATTGAGTCTCTGCTCAGCTCCATTATAATTACAGGGTCTATGAGCCATAATTAACAGGTGGTGTAGATACACGGCTTGGCAGGAAATGATGAAACACAGGCTGGCCCTGGTGCCTGAGTGGGATCTGAAGGAGTCTTGCTGCCGGGGCGCTGCTGCGCGAGCCCCTTGGGGCCGTGGTGGCTCTGCACAGGCACCAGGAGGGCAGGACGGCTGGCCCCGCAGGGAGTGGGAGGGTGTTCCGGGCCCTGCCGCCTGGGGAGAGCTGTGGAGGTGGAGGGATGGGAGCAGATGGGAAAGGATGTGTGGGTTCAGGAAGGGGAAGGAGGCTGCATGCTGCAGAGAGGCAGCAGGGTCCTGCAGGGTAGGGAGTGAGGCCTTCGCAGACGGGCCACAGGGATGTGAGATCCAGGGGCTCTCCGCCTGGCCACGTGGGCTCCACTGGAGGGTAATGTCCCCAGGGACACTGTCCTCCGTGATGAGGAAGGAGAGCACTAAGCTGCCTCTACCTTCCAGGGCCTAGGCACAGCGGGGGTGTCAACAAGCAGGCGCTGGCCTGCCAGAAGGACTCTGGACAGGAGCCAGATACCCGGCTTCTAACCCAGGATCTGAGACACGCGGTACTTACGGCGCCCTGCGCTCAGTCTTCTGATCACAACACACGCGGCCCGAGCTACGGTTGTGGCCCCTCCGGGTCCCTGGGAGCCTGTTAGAAATGCAGACCCCTCCCCCAGACCTGCGGAGGCAGTCTGCGTCCCAGCAAGGCCCTTATGTGCACTTCAGTTTGAGACAAGCTCCAGATCCCCTTGGCCTAGGAAACACAGTGACCCGTCCACAGGGACAGCTCTCCCGAAAGAGCAGCCGTTCTCTCTGAAGCACAGAGCGAACAGAGTGAGTTGGTTCTTGGCATTGAGCTCAGCTCCTCTCTGTTGATAACTTACCTCTGTTCACCTGCAGTCCCCATCCAGCCGACTTATCAAGCCGGTTTGTTTATTCTGCCCAAAGAAGTAACTGCTTTGAGAAACAAACAACCCAAATGACGAGTAGGTCAGTGAAGGGGCTAGGGAAGGTCCCTCAGACTTCCAGAGCTTTTACAAGGAATCCTACATGTGCTGTGTAGTTCACGTCTGGCTCTGGCAGATGGCGGCTGAATAGCAGTACACCAACGGCTTGTTAGGGGCTATCTACCCTGAAAGCAACTTCCAGTCAGGCCACATCGTGGGCTAGAGGCTTCTGGGTGCAGGGACACAGGAGGTCGGGCTCAGACTGGCCTTTGCTGGCCTTGGGCTTGGGGCAGTCTTCCAGCTCCATGTGACCCCCCAGTTCAGCTGGTGCTTGGACACAACGCTGTCTAAGCTGCCTCCAAGGAGAGCTTTGCCGTAAACTCTGAGCTCAGCACCCTGGCTTCCTGCTGTGGCTACACTGCCAAGCCGTGGAACTGGCACCATTTACAACACAGCCTAGCCAGGTCCTCTGATGAGACCACGGTAGGGGCGTGGGCCACCTCACAGGCCTGGTGAGGGGCGTGAGGGTGCAGCTGTTGAGCCGGTGAGGGGAGGTGCCAGAAAGGAGGCTGCCTCGCCGACGGCCACGGCCGGAGTGATTTGCAGGCCAGTCGTATGGGACCCTGCCTTCACTGGAACCGGTGGAGTTATCCTCCCAAAGACTCACTTCACACCAAAGCGACCAGGAGATGAACAGAAACCGTGGTAAGCTACGGAGCCCCTTCATCCTGTCCCCAGGCGCGATGAGCACAACTTAAAGCTCCTGTACTGCTTTCCCCTCGTTCTGCTACTAGTCGATTTTTATTGTAGAAGACATGGAAATAGAAATTAAAGAGAAGTATAAGTTCAAAATACCCATGTGACTCCACTCATCAGTGGTAATGGCAGCCCCTTTAACCAGGGTGATGCCTGTTCACCCCTCCACTCCCCTGGACCCCTGGCAACCACCTGTCTTTTCATGTCAAATAGATTTCACGCACTGAGCACCAGTGACCAACGAACAGACAAGTAGTGGGATGACGTCAAGAGCACCATCCATGAAGAAAGCAAAAGGTCATTAAAAAGACAGGAGACAAAGAAAAGATCAAAATGGATGTCAGAAGAGACTCTGAAATTTGCTCTTGAATGAGGAATAACTAAAGTGAAAGGAAGAAATGATGAAATAAAAGAGCTGAACAGAAGATTTCAAAGACGGGCTTGAGAAGACAAAGTAAAGTATTATAATGAAATGTGCAAAGACCTGGAATTAGAGAACCAAAAGGGAAGAACACGCTCAGCATTTCCCAAGCTGAAGGACCCGAGGAAAAAATTAAAAACTTGAATTGCAATATTGAAGGATTCTATGGGAAGAATATTGAATGATGTTAGGAAGCATCAAGAGAAGATGGAAGGAATACACAGAGTCACTGTACCAAAAAGAATTGGTCAATGTTCACCCATTTCAGGAGGCAGCATATGGTCAAGAACCAATGGTATTGAAGGAAGAAGTCCAAGCTGCACTGAAGGAACTGGCAAAGAACAAGGCTCCAGGAATTGACAGCATAGCCATGGAGATGTTTCAACAAACAGATGCAGCACTGAGGCACTTACTTGTCTCTGCCAGGAAATTTGGAAGACGGCTACCTGGCCAACTGGAAGAAATCCATATTTGTGCCCATTCCAAAGAAAGGTGATTCAGTGTGGAAATTACCAAACAATATCATACACAATTTAGATTTTGCTGAAGATGATTCAAAAATGGTTGCAGCAGTATATTGACAGGGAACTTCCAGAAATGCAAGCTGAATTTAGAAGAGGATGTGGAACAAGGGATATTGCTGGTGTCAGGTGGATCTTACTTCAAAGCAAAGAATACTAGAAAGATGTTTACCTGTGTTTTATCGACTATGCAAGCCAGTCAACTAAATGGATCATAACAAATTATGGTTAACATTGAGAAGAATGGGAATTCCAGGACACTTAATTGTCCTCATGAGGAATCTGTACCAAGAGGCAGCCATTCAAACAGAACAAAGGAATGCTGCTTGGTTTAAAATAAGGAAAAGTGTGTGTCAGGGTTGTATCTTTTTACCATTCTTATTCAATCTGTGTGCTGAGCAAATAATCCTAGGAGCTGGACTCTATGAAGAAGAATGAGACATCAGGATGGGAGGAAGACTTACTAACAACCTGCAATATGCTGAAATGGAGAGGACTTGAAGCACTTACTGATGAAGATCAAGGACTGCAGTCTTCAGTATGAATGACACCTCAATATAAAGAAAATGAAAATTCTCACAACTGGACCAATAAACAACATTGTGATAAATGGACAGAAGAGTGGAGTTGTCAAAGATTTCATTTTATGTGGATCCACAATCAACACTCATGGAAGCAGCAGTCAAGAAATCACATGTGGTATTGCACTGGGCAAATCTGCTGCAAAAGACCTCTTTAAAATGTTGAAGAGCGAAGATGTCACTTTGAAGACTAAGGTGCACCTAACCCAAGCCATGGTACTTTCATGTGCATGTAAAAGCTGGATAATGAATAAAGAAGACCGAAGAAGAATTTATGCCTTCAAATTGTGGTTTTTGCGAAGAACACTGAAAATACGACGGACAAGAAGAACGAACAAATCTATCTTGGAAGAAGTGCAGCCAGAACGCACGTTAGAGGTGAAAATGACCAGACTGTGTCTTCTACTGTGGTCGTGTGGTCAGTAGAACCCGTTCCCTAGAGAAGGATGTCATGCTTGATAAAGTGGAAGCCAGTGAAAAGGGGAGACCTTCAGTGAGATGGACTCACACAGTGGCTTCAACACTGGGCTCAAGAATAGCAAGGACTGTGAGGATGATGTAGGGCCAGGCAGTGTTTGGTTCGGTTGTGCACAGGGTTGTTGGGATTTGGAATCGACTCACAGGCACCTAACAACCACCTAACATCATAGTTGCCCTTTCTGGAATGTCATATATTTGGAGTCATAACCTGGAGCCTTTGCAGACAGTTCACTTAGCAGTGTACCTTGGAAGTTCCTCCAGGTCTTTCCATGGCTTGGTGGCTCACTTCATGGTTTTACTGACTAATGTGCCTTTGTGTGAATGGACCACAGTTTATTTATCCAGTCACCACCTGAAGGGCATCTTGGTTTTTTCTAATTTTTGGCAATTATGAACTAAGCTGCTGTAAACATTCCTGTCATGTTTTCATGTGGCCATCCATTTTCATTCCATTTGGGTCAATGTCTAGGCATGT